AAATTATTCTAGGTGCTTTCATTTTTTTTAGATATCTCACTTTCCATGCTGTATATCTCAGCATTTAGAATATTGAAAGTGGATGTTTTTCTCACCTGAATGCAAGATTATCTATCATCTATCTATCTATCTATCTATCTATCTATCTATCTATCTATCTATCTATGTATCTATTCCTCAGTATATAAGTACAACTTTCCCAGTCTGTATATTGTTACTTGTATGCATGTTTTCAGAGCTGAGCATTTGATATTGGATAACCAAATCGTCCTCTTCCCTGAGAAAGACCATTTCTCCCACTCTCAGAATTCCTTAGTTTCCAGTAGTTCTTTGTGTGTGGTTGAGATCTCTTGGCTTTTCCTGATCCACTTTCACATGTCTATTGGTGTTATCCTTGGTCAGTTCATGTTTAGACAGTCATTTGGTGAGACTTTATGGGTGTAGCTTCTGACATTCCTGGGAGACACATTATCACAGCAAACCCCCTGGTCCTCTAGCTCTTACAATCCTATTCCTAGATTGTTAATCCCAAGTCATATGATCCATTCTCCTGGGATGTTACCATCCCAAAACTGTATTGTCCCTATTCTCTTTCCATTGCAAGTCCCTCACACTGATTCCTTTCCTTCTGCTCTGCTTTTCAGAATTGCATCCTCCTAAAGGAGACCCTTGCTCTCTTATTTTCTGTTTATTCCCAGGTCTGAGATACCTCCTCTTACATTATTATCACCCACTATACTCTGATATGATCAAACTATAAGACCCTCTGCATCCGTGTATGAGACTCAGCATCCACTCACTCCAGAGGGACTCAAGATACTTAACTCCATAATCGTCACATTTCTCAAAGCTCATATTTTATTGCCCAATAATTGTCTCCATAACATCCTTATTGTAGCAGTCAAGAAACCAAACAGTTCTCATTGCCTAGTCCAAGTCCCCTGCCTGTCCACCCAAGCTAGAATTCTTATCCATTTGATGGTTTCCTTACACCCCGTATCCCATATTTTCCCTTTCACCTCTCATTGCCTTTTGCTGGATCTCAAAGACACTTTCTTTACTATTACTCTTGCTCCAACTTGCCAAGACATTTCTGTATTAACTTGGGCACTGAAATACCCACTCAGCCAGGTCTGAACAGTTATTTCCCAGGGATTGCATCATACTCCCCACTTCTTCAGGTGCTTTGCTCAGGGCCAGCTGAACCTCATCCTCACTCTCAGAACTCTCCCCCAGTATGTAGATGACTTTTCCTTGCAGTCTCTGCTAGGACTTTTCTTATTCCAGAGATCATCTCCTCTACTAATTCTCTTATCCTCTCAGGATTTTTGTCAGGTCAGCCTGTTACACCCCCTCACCATGAAGCTCTATAACTAGGTAAAAGGAAACCATCCTAACGATTCTTGGTGTAGCTTCAGTAATGGTCGTATTGCCCCCTTCTAGCCTCCAGCAAGCCATCCTTTTTACCATACATAATCAGTTTTATGTGGAATATCAACAATGGCTCATTTGACTTAAAACCTACCTTATTTGGTAGGTTTTAATGACCCCACAGAATTTTCACAGCATTGTCACTCCATGCATTATCTGCTGTCAGGGCTCTCATTAAAGGACTCTCCAGCCACCTCATCTTCCCACCTTCCAAACGTGAGGACATTTCTAGGGCAAGACTGGAAGAATGACTCTACTTATGTACCACTCTCTCACCAACCCCACTATGTCTTCACATTGATAGACACTGTCCCAGGTTAGATAGAAGCTTTCTCTAGCAGGCATGTGAGGTCACAAGAAACACTCCTATCCTTCCATCTCAAATATCCCTGTTGCCTTATCTTCGTCCCTGACATGTAACAATGGACCTGGCTTCATTTTTAAGGTCCTTGACACCCAACTACCTCCTGAGATATTAAGTACTCTTTTCCCTTTCTCTGTAGACTCAATCCTCAGGAAATAGCACATGCTGCCCCTGATGTTCTTGAGCAGCTTAGCTAGTACTTAAAGCTCAAACTGTCCTGGCTAGCTCTTCTGGTTCTTGTCCTCCATTGTTGAAGGCCTCTCCCTACCTTAAACCTTTGAATTAATGTTTGGGGGGGGTCTGTAGCCATACATCCTTCCTCTCTATTACTTTAACTCCCCTTTCTGGACTCATAGTCCTTGTATTTAACTTGCCAAAGTGTTACAATAAGTCTTTACTCCAAGATGCCTGAGCCCTGCTGCCACATGGGCACTTTCTGTCAGGCCACCTGAGTACTGCCCACTGCCACATTAAGGTCCCAAGTAACACATGAGACTTATATTAGGTACAAATTCTACTTAGCCAATGACTAGGATTTCTTATCTGCTAGCTCAGTCTTAATTATCAACCATAATCAAAAGACTTATGGTGGACGCAGACAGAATGCATCCTGTCTTCCTGGCGGTCACATGATGACTCCAGAGCAGAGAGCAGGAGCAAGAGGAAGAGCAAGAGAAAAAGGGATGACTTTCTGTTTGTCCCTGCTTATATATGAGTCTGCCTGCTTTGTCACTTCCTGCCTGTATCACAAGACTTCTTTTCACTACATTTCCCAGAATCCTCCTCCACTCTTAGTCCTGACTAACATGCTTCTTCATTGGCCAACAGTACTTTATTTACTCTAATATTTTTTCACTTCCAGGTCATTCACTTAAGTCATAGGTCCATTTTGTGTTGCTTTTCCTGTGTAATATAAGGCAAGGGTCTAATTTTATTCTTCTGAGTGTTCAACACCATTTATTGAGAAAACCACTTTTTCCCTTGATGCACTCTTGATGTCTTTGTCAGAGATTTATTCTCTTTTTTGGGGGGGGATTGCTTTAGTGATCCTGGGTGTATTACTTTCTAAATGGACAATTACTTCTCTTCATTTAATTGGATCTTCACCAGGGTTGGCAGGACTGATCAATCCCTGCCTTCAGATACATTTATTCCTTGTTCTCTAGTGCCCTTCTATGTGCATTTCCTTTTCTTTGTCAGCCGCCCTTAGTCCTGCTGCCTTTCACATCCTGTATCCACAGTTAGTGCTCATTTCTGTTTCCTCCTCTGTGTGGGTCACATGCCTACAATGGTCGTGTTCAGTTTCTAGTTCTCCATATAACCTATAGACTCAGGGTTCTAAGGGTTGTCTCTGCTTTCAACCTAACTCTTTCTTCTAAGCTCCACTTCATAAACAGTCCCCACATTTATATAGATCACAATGGCTATATCAACATTGCACTCATCAGGATCTAAGAAAACTTAATGCCCCTCTCCCTTCACCTGTCTCCTGCCAACCCAGCTTCCTTTTCAGGCCTTCTCTATTAGACCATCAACTTTTTTTTTTAACCTTTTACCATTTGTTTGTTTTGTTTTTTTGATTTTTGAATTTAGGGTTTTCAAAACAGGGTTTTTCTGTGTAGTCCTGGAACTCTCTGTGTATATCAGGCTGACTTTGAACATGGAGATCTTCCTGCCTCTGCCTCCTAAGTCCTGGGATTAAAGGTGAGAGCCACCACTGCCCGGCAGACCATCAGCTTCTAGTTGTTCAGTTCATGATTAAACTCTCCACTGAAACTTCCCTCCCACACTACAGAGCCTAAGAGGTTTGGGCCAGAAGTGTGGGTCTTACATATTTTAGCTTCTGTTTAAATACATGCAGTTCAATCAAACATAGAGAACTTCTCCCATTGGCATCTATAGTGCCACAAATATCTGTGGTTTTGGAGGTTGCACCCTTTTCCTGACTGTTCTCAGAAGTACCTGTCAAAATTGTAAGCCACACCTCAGTTTCTTGGTCTCATATGGCAGGATAAGGATGAGGATTATGCTGTATAAGATTTTCACCCCCAGAAAAGCTTAAGCAAGCTATCTAACCTGAGTTACTGCCAACTCCATTGCTCATCTCTAACAGGCAGGTTGATTTGGTGGCATGATGCACTGATCATATTTATAGGGAGAAGAGTTTCAAAGTGTTTATAATATTAAACTATACTAGATTTCCTACCTAACTATTTAAATTTCTATTTTAATGTTATATTGTTTTTTTCTGAAAGCATATTCTTTTAGTAGAGGCTTAATTTTATTTTTACAGTGGCTTTAATCTGAGGAGATGGAACTTTGTGATCTGTCATTCCACAGGAAGGACACTATGTTGAAGAAAAAATGTGGGGAGAAAGCAATACTGACAGAGCATGTGGCGATATTCAGAATTTCTAATCATCCCCAGAGCCTTGTTGGTCATCTTACTTTGAGGCTGGAAAAATGGTTATATGTGCTTGGCAGCTTATGAGACTGGCTTTCCAAGTGGCTGGCTTCCAGCTGTAATCTATCCACATTCTGCCTGCAGTAGTTGCCATTTGGTGGCAGTTGTCTCCCCAGGCAAAATAGGAAGAGGAAAGATTGTGGGTTCCAATGCTGGCTGGAACACGTGGGAAAACAGTGGTGCTTCTAGACCCTTCCAATTAGTTTATATCCAGGGAAACTGGGCAGGGAATTCTGAGGATGCAGTGTTCACACAATGTCACTGCTTCCTGAGAGGGTGTCCTTTGCCAAAGCCTCACCACTTACCCTGCAAAAGATCACAACTGTTACATCTCACTGCTGCGATTATATGACTGGCCTCAACAAGCACACTGCAGGGCACCGCTTCCAGGAGTTTATGTTCCAGTGATTAACACATTGAACAGAAAGGTATGAAATGTACAAATAGATATGTTTTTACAGCACCACAGATTGCTTCTTATTTCAGATTCCTTTAACAGCTCATTCTAATCCAGTCACTAATTGTTCCTGCTTCACCAAGTATTTACTGACAGAACTGGTCTCAGCACATTTAGAAGAGAAATCAAATGCGCATTACGGACTCAGTATCATTGTGTTTCTGGTTCCGCGCATGGCAGATTCATTATAGAGCTATATTTGATATATTTCTAATTGAAAACAGGAAAAGAAATGTCCAAAGCTTTCTCAATGCTGTTTCTGTCTTCTGTTTTTGTTTGCACAGCTCACCATGTTAAAACGGGAACTTGCGAGGTGGTGGCCCTACACAGATGCTGTAATAAGAACAAGATAGAAGAACGGTCCCAAACGGTCAAGTGCTCCTGCTTCCCTGGGCAGGTGGCAGGCACCACGAGAGCTGCTCCATCTTGTGTGGATGGTGCGACCTCTTCCATTGTTCATTGTAACAACATAGTCAGAATTGGAACCCCACTATAATGCTGTTTTCTGGAGTCACTCCCAGGAGCCCACACTGTAAATCACACAGCAGAAGGAAGTTACTTTGGGGCCTTTTTTGTGGCGTAAATACCTCTAGCTAGAGCTAATTACACATCTCATAGTTCTGTCACAAAAGCATTATAACGAGGTTCCAGTCAGTCAACGTGATATTGTTGCCATGAAATATCGACTTCTAGGTAGATGGTATATGCATAAATTACTTGGGAAATGCAAGATGACTATAAAGGGTTGAGTGACATATGTTCAAAAAACCCTAGACAGAGTTTAAGAATAAGAGATAAAAGAAGTCAACATCATGTACATGAATGAATGGCTGCAGAAAAAATTCACATAAAATGCTTTAATAGAGATGGATGTAAATATCGGTTTCCTTGTTTGATAGTTCATATTGTCATAGTAGATTATAAATCTATGTGAGAGGCTAGTAATTGTTGCATCATAAACAGTAATTTTTTATGTGACCTATTCCTTGTGAAGAAATTACTGTTTTATATAATTAAGTCTACAGACACTCTCCCAATTTTCAGCTGCTGTCAGAATTTCATTGACTTTAAAATATTGATTCATCTGGGCATGGGTATAGTTTATTATATATTTATATAAATCAGTACAGGAATTCTCAATATATTAGTCTCATGAAGTCTGTGTTTTCACTTGAAACATACTTCAACATAGTGAACAAAGTTATTACTTCCTGTTCAACAATTAGAAATTTATTAATATTATATATCCCATGTTACTTGTCCTTATTGTGATAAAATGAAATTTTATATGTAAGAAAAAATTCTCAAAGACACAAAATATATTAATTAGATCAGTGAATTTTTGTCCCGTGGCAGTCCGAAATAGAAATATTGAGCTAATTTTTCTCTCTCCTCATAGCATCCATAGTGGAACAAAAATGGTGGTGTCACATGCAGCCATGTCTGGAGGGAGAGGAATGTAAGGTCCTCCCAGATCGGAAAGGATGGAGCTGCTCCTCTGGAAATAAAGTGAAAACAACTCGGGTAAGTGGACAGCCAGCCTGGGATGCAAACAATCTCTGAATGAGTATAGCATAGGTCATGTACTGTGATATCATAAGGGAGCTTGTAGAACCAGAGGGTGTTGTTTTATATAGTGTGTATTTCCCATTAATTCATTTATTCATGGCACATTTTTATTTCAGAATACCATCTTCTACCAAACACCATCCACCTCCATGTTTTCTGATTAATGAACACAGTTTCTTCATTAAGACACTCCCAGAAACGTGAAGGCCTCAATCCCTCTTCTTTAGCTGAACAGTTATGGGGTACATTCTGGAAGAGACTGATTAGTTTCCAGCTGAGGTCTGTGTTGTGAAATCGATGATCCTGATCTTCCTGAGTTTTGGACTGTTAACTGTTCTCCTAAGGGTCAAGGTTTGCAGTCATTGCAATGGGTAACGTAGAGGCAATTAAGAATCTCATGATAAACACAATGCTCAGGACAGGGATGCGTTTCTGTTCTCAAGAACTTCTCTGGAAGATGGGAGAGCAGTGAGAAGTTGTTTTATTTTTTATTTTCAATCTTCCCATTGGTTACATAAATTTTCTTGACTGGAAGAATTTGACTTCTAATTTGAATATAATTGTAAAAATTGCAATTATAAAATTATATATAATTACGAATTATAAAAATTATAAAAATATATAAGTAAAAGGTGTATATAATTACATATAAATTATCTATAACTAAAACTATAATTAAAAGTTAAACTTTTGTAATTTTCAATTTGTTTTGAAGGAAAGCTGATAATTGACTAAAGTTGAATAACTGAGTAGCAAAATAATGGTATAAGCATATTTTATAAAAAGTGACACCAAGCTAGATAATAGTATTTATTTGACATGAAATTAAGAAAACATTTCTGAGTATCTTCAGGTGATTATTCTATTGATGTCATCCCAATACATTAAACCCTGTCAAGAAATGTCATCAATGGATTGACACTAGATGCACACAGATGTGTCCATGTTTTGAATAGCACAGATAAAAAACCTACTTTGTGGTTTTGCCAATTATTCCTGATTCTAATTTGTTGGTTAAATTTTGGGAAACACTTCCAAAAATATTCCAAGGTACATGATCAGTTAGTTAGAATAATTATATTATTCAATGGGCTATCCACAGTTCTAATTCATTCTGATGTGTTAACATTTTGTTAGTATTAAATTTCCTTGTAAGGTATTTATTACCATGAAATTATTTTCTCCTCACACTGTTCCTACTAAAAATTTGAATAATGGGAATTCACTAAAGATGTGAGATTCTGGAAGACATTGACAAAATAAGTTAGTAAAAAAGATGAGCTCTCTATAGCCATTCTGTGTTTTCATTACTTCAGCGGACAAGGGGAAGCTGACATTTATTGGACCCATAAACATATGCTGCATGCTGAACAGGGTACTTTAAATACATTATCTAATTTACTCTGCTTAATAGCTCCATGAGGATGGTATTTTCATTTTCATTTTACTGATGAGTAAACCAATACTTAACAAAGTTAAGTGACTTCACAAGGTCACAATGATAATTAATTGAGGGATCAAGATTCAGCCATACAGTCTAATTCTCAAAACTGACCCATCAATCTGTAACTATAACTTAAATTTTAAGATATGATTTACTACATTCTTAAGTGATAGCAATGAAATTTTCCTTCACTTATTTTCAGATGAGGTAGACCTTTAAGAATATATTTAACTTTCTGGATCATTGAAATGAAAAGGTCAAGACGATGTTGAAATTCTCAAAAATTATTTTGTAATGGTGCCGTTTCTTTCCCTGTTGGCCAACTCATAATAACCCAAAATTAAAACTGAGCTTCACCTTCACAGAATTTATGCCAAAGTATAGACACAAGGCTGATGATAGAATGAATGGTTCTGGGCAGGAAAACCACATCTAGGCCCTATAGCTTACTTTTAGCAGTATGGTACTACATGATGCAGGACAACATTTTATGATTTTTTCCATTATTTCTTCATGAAGAACAGTTGGCAATGGAGTACCTTATAGAATGTATTGTCACCCATTATCAGGCTAAGCGTTATGTTGTTGTTGTGGGATAAAAACTGTGGCCAGGCAGGAAGCTCCTCAAATACCAGATCCTTGATAAGTTTTGTTGTGTCTATAGTTGGTAGTTATAAGTGTTGGCCATAGGCAGGTGGGAGCAATCAGGAGCAGAAGCAAATAGTCTCAATGGTTCACAGTATTCAAGCCAGGCTTTTTGAGTTACTCTTCTCTGTATCCTTGTAGCATTTTATCCTTCTTTAGTTTCTCCTTCTCTCCCCCCCCTCTCTCTCTCTCTCTCTCTCTCTCTCTCTCTCTCTCTCTCTCTCCCTCCTCTCATACTCCTCCATAGCCCCTGTTTGTCTTTCATTTTTCTGCCATGAATGCTCTCAAATTGCTTCCCCAGCTGTCAGACAAATGTCTGTCTTCCCCTTTCCACAACTCAACTGCCACCTGGACCGCTTGGCTCCCTCTGTGCTTCATGCTCATTGCCATTGCTCTTTGGCCTCTGTTGTTTCTATCTCCATGCTCCCAGCTCAACCTTCACTACTGGAAGGAGACAGGAGAAGACTACTCAAGGAAATCCTTGATGTGATGTAACACCAGGGCATGAGTGTAAGAGTTGTTTCCCAGCCAATTCAATAAGAGAGCTTAAGAAGCAAGTTTGCATAGCCCCAGTGTATGAACCAAACACAGCCATGGGTACTTAAGTTTGGGACAAATTGTAGCCTTGTCTCTTAACATTGGTCATACTAGTCCCTCTCTGATAGGTTGATGGCTTAAGTCCTCTTCTGCTAACTTAGGTGGTTGCAGAGTCATCTAGAGTACCTGGAAACTTGTGGGAACATAAAGTCTGATAGAACATTGTTTCAAACTACACTGACAGTGTCTGCAGGACCAGGGAAACGATATGTTGTTGTCATGTAGATATCTTGAACCATCTGAGGATTATTCCAACAGCTGGTACTGGCGGTAAAAGAAGGGAAGGCCAACTGGTTCTGTTGCTCAGGGAAGCCAGGGCAGCAAAAAGGATCACAACAGCTGCACATGATGGAGTTTAGAGTGCTCCATGCCTCCATCATCTTTGCTGACTGAAAATGGACATTATATGTCAGGCTTACAAGATGAACTTAGTGGACTTATTTTTAACACTAGCAGTGACTTTAACAGTGTCTATCAGTGCCCAAGGGAAAGGCGAATTCCCATCATCTGTCCCAGATTAATGCAGTTGTAGGCACTCAGATTAAATTGCTTCTAAACTCTCTAGTGATTCTGAGGCCATGATTCTTATAGAAAGAAAACTAAGAGAAAAGATAAATGGATTGAAGGAAGGAAATTTTTGATTAATCAGTGTAAAGTATTTTTCCTTTTGTGTCTTTTATAAAAAACATGTTTATTCTTTATTGTTTTAAGAATATATTTAAAATTTTCTTGCATTTTAATAATATAAAATTTCCTTTATATTTATATGTGACTTTATGTTGGTACGTGAGTATGAGTATAGATGCCTGAGAAAGCTAGAAAAGGACATCACGTTTCCTGGAGCTGGAGTTATAGGTGTAGGGTCACTCAAGCTAGGTTCTGGGAACTGAACTTGGGTTCTGTAAGATCAGTGGATGGTCTTAACCAATAAACCATGTCTCCAAACCTAAGGGGGAAAAAACTTGTAAAACATGGGCATACTTAGATATCTTCAATTAACTGAATACTATGACAGTGTACCTGGCTTGTCAAAATTTCACAAATATGAATATTTATTGAATTCACAAAACAGTTTGGTCAAATATTGCCATACTACCATAAAAGTCAGTTTCTGATGTCATCAGCTCTGGCTTTCCCACTAAAATATTGTAAAAAAGTGAGGGAAGAAAGAAACATCCCTTAAATAGGTTGGGGCACAATAGTACTATACAGAGAGTAAGTATTGGACAGGGATGATTCTTCCATGCATAAGTAGATATAATATTATTAGAAGCATGAGTCATTATTTTGTTCATTGCTGTCATTGTCCACTTGCCAGTCTTGAATAAGAAGGCAGGGATTGCCAGATTTCTATGCAACCATTATCCCTGATTTGGCAGGTTCTGGACACAAAAGGATGCCTAGAAGAGAGTCTGGAAAGGTTACAAAGTAGCTTTGCAAGCTTCTCTTAGCCCAAAACTATTCGTACTTCAGAGGCAAACTATGATGGTCATATGGGATTTTCACTGCTAGAAAAATGGCCAGAGCTGTGATTAAAAATTTCAGTAATGTACACCCTCTCTTATCATTACCCATATCCAATCTGGAATGCTCAGGTAAGTCTCACAGTGAAAGAGAGCAGTCAGCCAAATCCAGTAGTGAGGCCTGCATAGCTTCAATAGAGAGAAATGGAATCTTCCAGAACCAAGGAGACATCAGGCCTGGGTGAGTGTTCTCCTGACCAATTTGGAACCTTAGTGCCCTCGACACAAATGTGAATTATACCATGCTTCTGCCTTTACATCCATTCAGAGAGCTTTGTTGTTGTTGTTCCGACCTCTTTTCTTCTCCAGAAAGGAGGGTAGACAATGAACAGATAGCCTTTTAGGAAACATCAAATTTTTGTTCTCAGACACATTTATTCTGAAAAAGCATAGGAGATACAGCATCTGTTTCCAATTTTTTCTCCCCTCTCATGCTTAAGGAGAAAAAAATTTAGGAGCATCTATGACATGCAAAACTCTCTCCTGCATTACTTTTAAGATTTAAGATGAAAAGAAAGGAAAAGTCTTATGAGCCTTTTATTTTGAAGTCACTTTCAAAGATAAATAGTGAGGAACTTGTTTTAGAGTCATTAATAAAAGAATAGTCTCTCCAGTGTAAAAGAGCACATAATTATATGCTAATTATACAGTACAAAATAGCAGGGGGAAAGGTGCTTCTAGCTCGGAAGATAGGAGGAAATATCTTTAACACTGTTGGGACCGTCAAGAAAAAACAGACTCTGCCTCATTTCTTTTAATGTTTTGATATTTTTCTTCCTCTGTGGAAGATCTGAGGAACCCGTGGACTGCATTAGAATTTCAATTTCTTATCTGTTGGTATGGACCTCATGCTCCAAAACACAGGGGTCAGTAGCTCTCAGGTCTGATTCTTACCAAAGGAAAACATGACAAAATTTACATTATAAGTGACTCTGTTGTCATGAGAAATATTAACTTTGGGAATCATGTATTCAAAGTCTACCTACTTTTCCTATTCCTGTGGCATAATTTGTAGAAGCTGGAGTGCTTTTACCTTTATTCATGTACTTAAAATATCTTAACCAGATAGGAATTCTGTATTTTTTAAAAAATATACCTTCAGATATGTGATAGGTAGGGTTTTAGTTGGGGGGTTGGTAGGGGAGGAGGGGAGGAAGTGGGAACTGGGAGTGACATGTAAAACAATCTTGTTTCTAATTCAAATAAAAAAGATGGAAAAAAGAATGAAAAAAATAAAAAATAAAAATATACCTTTAAACAAAATTGATTTTTAAAGGTGATACAGTGTGAGTGAACAGATGTTAAGAATTCTAGAGCATATAGTAACAATACTTATAATTTAAACACAAAAGCAAATACAATGTTGACTTAGCTGTTAGGTGTAGTACACCAATCCTACTTAACTTAGTCAACCATACTAGACAATATGGACAACACCGAGTTATATGGGATAATCCTTGCCCACAGGTAACATATGCACCTGAGACAGGGAAATGAATATTATTTGAGGCATCATTGTTTTCTTTATCTCTATGCAGAATCCTGCATAGCTGGACATTGGAATCAATTGGTAAACAGTATCAAGACTAATGTTATTAAAATAATACACCACCAAATGTCCTTGCTTTAGCTCTCTCATCTTCAAAAGCATGAAGATGTCAAACTGGATTCAGTTTCAATCTCTCTGTCTGTATGTACCAAGGACATTTCTAACTTCCTTCACAGCTAAATTAATATGACATTAATATATGGCTAACCTCGGAAGACTGATGAGACCAGTTTTTAGAAGGGAGGAAGGAAACATCTTCTTGTGAATTTTGCTGATAAAAGTGTCAAGTTGCCCCTTTACAGATGAAGCTGGATTTTGTACCAAGGCTGAATGTTGGTAGAAACAGGGGATTAGGGTGCTGATTCCAGATCCGAGGCAAAGGGAGAACAGAGCATGAAGATTAAAGATTACTTTATTACATTAAGATGGCATGGTGCGCATGCCATTTTCACTCCCAATGCTCATGTTGCCTGGCAAATATAAGTACACATTTAGAGTAGTGTGGTTCTTTTTTATCAGCCGTTCTTATCCAGCATATCCCCATTCATTTGTCTTCATCTCTCTACCAGGCAGGTCCTAAATTGCAGTCTAGTCTACAGCACAAAGGCAAATGACCTTTAGGGCTGTGGCTTATAAATTATATTAAGGCACCTACAGTAAGATATATATCTTATCTTGTGACCCATTACATACAACACACACATATTTGTGTTACACTACAGTTAAAGTTGGACTGATATTTTTGGTTGTCTTTCTTACCTTTTGATCGTTTTCCTTCCCCCTTTCTTTCCCTCTTTCTACTCCTTCCTTCCAATATCAGCCCCATAAACTGATTTTATCACTTGCAGACTCCATCTGCCTACATTTCCCAGAATTTTCCTTATCTCCTAGCCCTGCCTATCTTCTTGCCTCTATTGACCATAGAGTTCTATTCATTAACCAATAAGAGAAACACATATACAGAAGGACAACCCCCATCAGTATTTTGCATTTTAGAAAGTGCCACTTTGATATTTTGTTGTCTCCTGAGTCTTCCTCCATGGAACTTGTAGAGATGCTAACTCCTTAATGAAGAGTTTTCAAATCAATCTAGTCCTCACTTTTTAATAACAGTTTTCAATATATTGTTTGGGGGTTAAACATTTCATTTACTTTTGAGATATAGATTTTGTGGAGGTAAATACATATGACAAATAAATACTAATTCAAAAGTGCTGTATTGTTTACTGTTTTAAAGATTTGTTCTAAGTTCCAAGTAAAGACACCAGTGAAACAAAACCAAAGAAATAATTTTTTCCCCCAGAACCTGTACTTTCCTAAGCTGTATTAGTTTTCTGTTGCTGGCGTAGACGTTAAGTTTCAGTGACTTACTGCAAGGCCTGATAATTATGTGTAGATTATTCGTGTAAGCATAGGTGGCACAACAGTATCTGTTGTCTGAGTTTTTGAAGGGAGAACTAAAGGGTGGGCATCATATTTTCATATCAGGCCTGTTTTTCCTTGTGATGAGTCTGGGGAGAATCCATTTCTAAGTTCATTCATGTTATTATCGTCAGGTTCTTGGGGACTGTAGGGCTGGAGTATCTGTTACCAGAGCCTCTGTCACCTCCATTAGGATGACGGTTTTCCTCGTGACATTAGAGGAAACAAAAAATTAATAAAATAAGGAGCACATTGGATGGTGGTGTTATATCACAGCAGGAGAAAAGGATGGGAAAGGGAGAGTTCGGAGCAAATTTGTGTATTTGATTGAAGGTTTGAAGGTCGGGGGTGACCCACATGGAGTTCTCTAAGCAGATGGAAGAAAAAGTCCCCGAGATGGCAGCTGTCGTAGGAAAACCACATCCAAGGGATACCAGGATATCTGGGATAGAGCAAGTGGTAGAATTCAAGGCAACTTTAGCATGTCACAACTGACTTAATCTTTCGTCGTAAACATGTAGAAAATGGGAGCTGTTGTGAGCTAACATGGACAGAATTGTGGAAAGGGTTTATTTTTCTTTCTTTTTTTTTTTTTTAATACTAAGTAACTCTAGGACATTTGACATAATGGAAAATCTGGTCTAACACCTTTTCTTGATATTTCATAAGAGTAGGTGAATATTTTCTACTATTATAATGAGAAAGACAGACACTGAGTGAGTAGAACTCCTGTTAGAGAAGCTAAAGTTTTAAATGAGGAGGCAATTAGAAGCAGAACACTTAAGGAAGTTGGTAATCATGGTAATAACATTAAGTTTTTTATCAGGAGGTTTAGGCAGAAACGGATTAACGTGTGGACAGTTTTCACACCAATTAGACACTGCATTCAATTCAGGTAG